TATAGTGTTCAATTGTCTTGCCACATTATTATAATTGAATTTGTAGATATTAAATTGTGGATCTCCAACATTTTTCATATAATAATATGTAATTTTATGGTTAAGTTTTTCAAAAATTCAAATTTAAATTCAATTATAAACTTGATAGAATTTGACGGGCTCGTGAGACTCACTACAAGTTATGTTTTAATAATTCAAATTGTTCATTTTGTAAGACCCTCGGTGTAAATTTTATTGTGTTTGTCTAAAAAAAATAGTTTATTTTTAAAAATATATTTGCCCTCTATTTTTTCAAAGACATGTGATATATATATATATATATATAATGCTTATCAGATCAATCCAATTTTTTTTTTATGAATGATATAGATTTAGGGTTTTACAAAATAAACGGTTCGAATCATCAAAACAAAACTTTTGGTGAGCCCACAAAACCGTCAAATTCTCTCAAATTTAAACTCGACCCTAATTTTAAAAATTAGTAATTTTTGTATAGACCGAATGGTCAAACTCCTACAAATCATTACAAAATTAAATTAAATAGACACATCTATTTATTGAGATGGACTTGTTTGGTTTGTTTTTCAGAAAAATTTTTGGGAAAAATTCTCTACAAACAAATTTTCAAGAGTAATCAAACCAAACAAATTTTTCCAAAAAAAATCTCAAAATTTTGTTTAGTTACCTGCTTTCCAAAATCACTCTCTCTCATATACATCAAATCAATCATTTTTTTTTAAAACTCTCTTCCCAAAACAATTTTTCAAAATCATTTCTGAAAAAAGGCAAACTAAACAAGTTTTCGTACTTTTTATCTCAAAAACAACTCTACAAACACAAACCAAACACACTATCTTCCACATGAGGTATAAGTTTTTCATTGTTTTTCACATATACAACTTTTACTTATGTTTACAGTACAAGAGAGAATCTAACCACTTTTTGATAACATACATTTGTCTTTATTAGGAGGACTTCTACAAACTCAAAAATTTAACTGGAAATTTATCTAGAAAATACATGTGTGGTTGAGATTTATTTTAGAAGTAAGACCCATCATTTAAGAATTGAATCTAAATTATTTATCAGGATTCTTGATAAATTCTGGGTTTAAATTTCTTCTGTCTTACAATTTCTATTTGGTTATTCATCGGCCAAATCAATTTGTACATCATCAATTTACTTTATATTAATGATTTTATAGCTTTCTAATATCGAATCTCTCACTTTTCTCATCCTATGATATATTATTTTTGTGTTTTGTTGATAAATCCACATAATTTATAAATTCAGTATGAAATACTATTTTCTTAATGTGTATTTCCTTTATATTATTATAAAGTTTTTTATTTCAAAAATATAATTACAAATATCACGTATAATGCAGGTGTATATCATCACTAGTACATATAAGAGTATTTGCCAACAAGAATTTAAAATAAATGCTTGATTAGGCAAGGTTTAAGTGATGGCTATTTTTTGTTTAGAGTTGAATTCCCACAATGATTCAACAATAAACCAAGTGAATTTCATCCACAACCAGTTTTTTGTTTTTTTTGTCAATCGATTGGATTAATAGCAAGCATGAACAATTATATATGCACAAATCCAACGAGTAACTCTAAAAAATCACACATAGCCCAACCCAATAATCATATAATACAACCCAACAACCAACTCAAAGAAACCACACCTAGCCAAAACCCAACAATATTGGGCAGGCCTATTCCAAATGAAGCACTGTTAATGTGTCCTTTATTATGCAGGCCAGGCCATAAGACAAAGTCACGTGCCACTCATTTGGCTGTAAAAGGCCGGTTAATCCAATTCTTGACCTAGGTGTTGTTTGGAGAGTTACCACATAGTCAAAAAAAAATCAAAAAACTATTACAAAAAGTTAATTTATTTTCTTTATTTTTTTACATTTTTTTGGTAAAAAATTAAAAACTTTATTAAAAAAAACCAACTTAGCTTATTTGGTGACAATTTTTTTGGCTTATTTTCCTCTTTATTGAATTTTTTGTAAAATTTTTCAAAAGTTTTAAGCTTTTAAATTATGCTTGACAAAATAAGCCGGAAAATTTAAAAAAAAAATACAAGATTACAAAAAAGGTTCAGAAAAAAACAAATAAGTAAAAAATAGTGGATTTTCTTTGCTTATTTTGACTTTGTTAATTTTTTTAAAATTTTATTATTTTCTTATTTTTAAATTCATCTAAAAAAAAGGGACGAAATTTTTTTAAAAATTGACTTATTTTTTTAAAAAAAATACTAAACAATTCAAAAAAATATGTCCCAAACACTAGTTTGGAAAACTCGTACTACGTTTCGTGAGCCGCAAGGAAAAAATCGTGATTTACAAACCCTAGAAAACCAAAAAACATTATCTATACGGGGCCGGCCCTAACCTAAGGCAAGTAAGACTTGTGCCTTAGGCCCCAAATTTTGGGCCAAAAAAAGGGCCCCCAAATTTAATAAATTGTTATAGATCCAACCCTTTTTTTTTTGTTTGTTTTTTTTTTGTTTGTTTTAAGATCAATTTAAAGGGCCCCAAAATGTTTTACTGGGCCCATGTAAAATTTAGCTCATATTTATTTATAAATGTGTTTGGCCCATATTTATTAAAATGAAAACATATAAAAAAACAAAACAAAACAAAAACAGAAGAAGTGTTTGGGCCCAACCCAAACCATACATACACTATATACAACATCCCTTTCACTTTAGTGTACTGATTTGCTTTCAATCTCTCTCTCTTTAACAAAGTAATGAAATGAAGATCACAACAATATGTACCAAGTTCAAGGCAAGGCAGACGCAGAGCACAACATTGTTGTGAGCGACTCACTCTCTCTCTTTCACTCACTCTTTCAGCGACTCACTCTCTCTCACACACTCTCTCTCATGGTAAATCTTCTCTCTCACTATCAGATTTTATTAAATAAAGTTACCCTAATTTTTTTTTCTACATTCTTTCTCTATCAGTTAGTGGAATAATAAATTCGCCCTAATTTTTTTTTTACCTTCTTTATCCATTAGATTTTAGTGGAATAAATATTTTAGCCCTAATTTTTTTACCTAGGTATTTATCAGTTTTAATTGAATAAATTTTTTTGCCCTAATTTTGTTTCATTAAATTTTTTTTTATATAATTTATTTGCTATCAGATCAATGGGTTGTGATTTGTGGATTGAACAAAACAAAAATAAAAGAAATGTTTGGGCCCAACCCAAACCATACATACACTATATACAACATCACTTTCACTTTAGTGCACTGATTTGCTTTCAATCTCTCTCTCTTTAACGAAGTAATGAAATGAAGATCACAACAATATGTACCAAGTTCAAGGCAAGGCAGATGCAGAGCACAACATTGTTGTGAGCGACTCACTCTCTCTCTTTCACTCACTCTTTCAGCGACTCACTCTCTCTTACACACTCTCTCTCATGGTAAATCTTCTCTCTCACTATCAGATTTTATTAAATAAAGTTACCCTAATTTTTTTTCTACATTCTTTCTCTATCAGTTAGTGGAATAATAAATTCGCCCTAATTTTTTTTTTACCTTCTTTATCCATTAGATTTTAGTGGAATAAATATTTTAGCCCTAATTTTTTTACCTAGGTATTTATCAGTTTTAATTGAATAAATTTTTTTGCCCTAATTTTGTTTCATTAATTTTTTTTTTATATAATTTATTTGCTATCAGATCAGTGGATTGTGATTTGTGGATTGAAATGTTTGTGATTTGTAGATTGAAGTGTTTATAGCCATGTTTTCTAGGAAATATAGTTCTGGAAATGAAAAGAGAAAGAAGATGATGAAATTAGAACAATTAATTCAAGTATATGAAAGTAAATTTTAGTTTATAATTTTAATGATTATATGTTCAAGTATACTTAAATAAAAAATTTGTGGATACTTATCATTTTATACATAAATTTTTTATTAAAAAAAAATATATTGGAGAGGCCCCATTTTTATAGTTCGCCTTAGGTTTCGCAAATCTCAGGGCCGGCCCTATATCTATATATAAGCTGCCTCAACCCTATTCACAAAACCTAAAAAGCAATGCGCAAAAAACAGATCAGAAAGCAGAAGAGCAACAAAAGTAAATAAAAAAAAGCTTCAAAAAGCTCGAACAATGGCGGCTTAGTTGGAGTTGGAGTCTCATTCCAACAAGAGAGAGTCTCAGAGATTCTTTCAAGACTCCCTGTGAAGTCTCTCTTGAGATTCAGATCCATCTCCAAACCATGGCAATCCATTATAGACAACTCATCTTTTGCATACACACACTTGACTTGCTCTCATGCTCAGCGCGGCCACGACCGAGTCCTTCTCTCTTTCTCGAATTTTGATGGCTCAAAACACTATTTTTACTCTTCTAGCCTGGGTGGAGGAGAGTTGGTTCGAGTCCTTTCGCTGCCAGGATGTGACAAGGGAAGCAATAATAGCCCTTGTCAGTGCTATGTTTCGGAATCTATTAATGGTGTCATATGTTTCTTCAATGGCACTCAAGTGTATGTTTGTAATCCGAGCACACGGGATATTATGACAGTATCACCAAACAATGAAGTTGAATTGAATGTAAAACATGATTCTTTTTTTAATGTACCCTATTCTTGTTTTTCTTTAGGGTTTGATTCTTTTTCCAAGGAATACAAAGTGTTGCATATATTTGGAACGCGACACGGCATGAACACGGCAAGATTGTATGACATGCAATGCCAAGTACCAATAATATTAGAGATCATGAAAAAAATATTATGAAATGCTTCATGAAGATTTTTCATCCTTTGATTAGTGTGTGGTGTTTTTTTGTATGTGTAATCTAATGGTGGAGAATTTTTCATGATCATTTTTATAAAAAAAATTTCATGATACTTAGCATTACTCGCCAAGTACTCACAGTAAAAGCCACAAGAGAACCTAATGATGAACTCAAATCTAAGTAATCTTCTATAGAGAAAGATTGGGTATGTCCCTCCCTATCCCTATATGTTCAAAACTCAAGGTGTTTATGTCAATGGCGTGATTCATTGGATCAGTACGAAATCTTCTGGGAAAGAAGTTCTAGTGCCATTCAACGTTGCAAGCGAGAAATTTCACTTGATTCCACTCCCTGAAGGCAGCATGCCATCAAAACCTAATTTAACACAGATTCGCGGGGGTTTGGCTTTGTTTGGTTACGAAGATTGTGGATATAACTCCATAGGGTTGTGGGTATTAGAGGACTATCACAAACTCTTGTGGATCAAGAACAATATTAATGTCGCGTCTTCGCAAAATCACAAGAGGGTAAAAGTTGTTCTTGTTGGTTCTAATTATGTAGGTGACATGTTGCTAACTCAAAGCATGTTCACGCACCACTACGATCTCATTCCTTGTTGCCATGAGAATAGGACTGCAAGCACGAGGATGATTAGGATTCGTGGGCTGCCTCCATGGATTGATCTTTATGGGGCAAAAAATATCAATTTTAGGATTGCCAATCATGTGGAAAGCTTGGTGCCTCTAGGACCTCTAGATATGCAGTTTGGGGATTTTGTTGTCCATGACGCTTGATTTTTTTTTTTTTTTTTGTGTGTTATATGGATTAAAATTTATGAGAATATATATCAATGAAAATGAAATTTTGGTTTACTCATGCAGCTCAAGGTTTTATTTTTTCATTATGTCCATAAGGATTAGTGGTGATCATATTTGATGTATTCAAGTTAATTGAGTTTTGTTCTTTTTTTTTTTTTTTTTTTGGTGTGTGGTTAATTATTGCTTTTCAACCTTTCTTTTTCGAATTGCTTGCGGATTACATATATAATCCAGATGAGTTTTTAGATATCCGCATGGTTTGATTAATTTTCTTCCTTTAAAGTTTCATCATTCTAATCATAATGGTTAAGAAGTGCTTTAATATTGACAAGTTTTGCAAGAAAGAAAGGAAATAATATTGTTAAATATAAAATAAATAATATTGTTAAGAAAAGGGAAGAAAGGAAAGAAATTGTTTGGACGGGTCAAAATGATTTGGTTCAAGTCGGTTTGTATGGTTATTTTAAGGGAGAGTTACGAGTTGATCCTATGGACCGGTCTTATTACCCTGCAGGTCCTATTTAAAAAAAATCAAACAATGTTTTTTATTTTTACCCCTAGACTCAACACTGCAACATCCAGCCACGGTTTCCGTGGGAAACACACAAACATTGATAAATGTTATCAGTATTTACCAAACCACTTAAATTACTTATTGTTTCTTACTCTCATACTCACATACATACACATTCACTCACTAATTCACAAAAATACATCCACACATTTACTAATTCACAAAAACAAATTCATAATAGTTTAGCTGTGATAAATTTATCATTGATAAAATGTTATCAGTGATAAATTTCATACTCACACACATACACACTCACTTACTAATTCACAAAAACAAATTTACAAAAATTCAACAGTGATAAATTTATCACTGGTTTAAACAAATTTATCACTGGTTTATCACTGTTTTAAACAAATTTATTACTAATTCAAACATATTTATCATTGAGATCTTCCCCAATATACAACGAGAGAGAAAGAGAGAGAAGACCCGGTGGCAAAGAGGCTAGATCTAGAGGTGGAGGCGACGACGACTATGGAGGTGGAGGCGGCAGTGGTCGGCAATGACGGTGGAGGTGGAGGCAAAGACATCGGTGGAGATAGAAGCAATGGTGAAAGTAGAAGAAGATGCCGGTTGAGGTCGCCGGCAACGACGAGAGTGGAGGCGGCAGTGGTCAACAATTGTGAAGATGGCGATTGTCGTTGGTAGAGAAATGTGCACAGAGAGAGAGAGAGTTTTTTTTTTTTTTTTTTTTTTTTTTTTCATTTTTCGTCTCCAGATATGAGTATAAAAACATGAGGGCAAAAACGAAATAGATAAAAATATTCAGGACCTATAAGTAAAAGAGTCTCCATTAAGGACCTGTTGGGTAATAACCCTTGAAAATGGGGCTAGCCCGTAAAAATCTCTTATTTTAATAGTTCAATTCTTAAACACCCATACAATTTTGTGGTGTCTCTCATCAATTTCACATACTATACTCTCCCTATACTAAAATTATTAATTTTCGTGATTTTATATATTTGTTAAATTGAATTTTATATCTAAATATTTTCACGTATAAATCTGGAAGAGACTTTTTTCCTTCACAACCTCACATGGAAAAAATCAAAACAAGAAGCCATATAGGTTGTTTATTGGGGAATTTTTTTTAAGGTCCCTAATAATAGTAATTTAGAGGATAGAGGACACCAAAAAAATGGATGATATATCAGGTCCCTCAACTAGAACGCGCGCATTTTTAATTCTTTCTTGGACCAAAATACCCTTCACAAATCAACTGAGAACACTCTACTAGATTCTGACGACTCAGTTCCATTCCAAACAGCCAACCATCTTCACGAGCAAGAGAACAAAAGAATTAGGGTTTCACAATCATCTTCACTATCGACATTAGGGTTTCATTATCTTCTGCCAAAATCTTTTCCATTCCTTCCTCAAAAATTTCTCTAACCCGTTTTCACTATTCATCGTTATCTCAGTTCATCTTCATCTCATTGCATCTTTATCTCAGGGCATATCAATTTGTAATTAGGGTTTCATTCTCACTCTAGTAAATTTTTTACAATCCAACGAGTTTTTCTTTGGAAACACAGTTAATTGCATATTATAGCAGCCTTCCATTAATTAGGGTTTCAATTTCGTAATAAAAAGCTACATGAATTTGAAAAATGTTATTTCTCTGAGTTTTGAACTTGTTCTTGAAGATGTATGTGTGATTTTGTCTGTAAATTTCTCTGGTATTTGCTTGATCTATGTTTCTTCTTTGAATTTTCTCTGGCATGTTTATTTCCCCATTTGTTTCAATTTATTCCCCCATTTTCTCTGGCATGGTTAATGTCATTCAAATTTCTCTGCTCGATAAATTTATTTGCTCTGTAAATTTCTCTAGCATTTTCATTTTCTCTAGATTGTGAAATTTTCTCAAGCATTTTCATTTTCTATACTTGCTAAATTTATATTTCTTTTTTGAATTTTCTCTTGCTATGTTTTACATTTATATGTAATATTACTCTCTTGTCTGTGTCTAAGTTTCTCTGGCATTTATAATTTTCTTTGGCCACATCACTTTTCTTCCTTGTGTGTCTCTGTCATGCTTAAATTTCTCTAATTGTTTATGTAAATTTCTTTGGTATTTTAATGTTATGGAATGAAAATTTTCTTTGGAATGTGTAATTCTCTCTAAATTGTGTAATTTTCTCTAGCATTTTCATTTTCTGTGCTTGCTAGATTTATGTTTCTTTCTTAAATTTTCTCTGACTATATTTTACATCTAAATGTAATTTTTAGCAATTTTTAAAATTTTCTCTACCATATTTATGTTGCTTTGTTTATTTTCTCTAGGAATGGAAATTAGCTGTGGCAACATGTATTCCACACGAAAACACTTAGTATTCTATTGTCTATGTCTAAATTTCTCTAGAATTTATAATTTTCTCTAGCCACATTACTTTTCTACCTTGTTGATTTCTCTGGCATGTTTATGTTACTTTGTTGATTTTCTCTAGGAATGGAAATTTTTTGTGGCTAGATGTATTCTACAGGAAAACAATTAGTACTCTGACATTTAATTTTCAGTGTGTAATTTTCTCTGACATTTATAATTTTCTCTGACCACCTTAGTTTTCTTCCTTATGTGTAATTTTCTCTGACATGTTCAATTTTTTGTAGCATGTTTAATTTTCTCTAGGATTTAATGTTGACATCTTTATGTTTTCATTGTCTAGAAATGGCGAAACACAAAAGCAGCAAACACCAAAAACACCACGAAAGAAACAGAGGATGTGTTTGATTTGTGTTTGTAGAGTAGTTTTTGAGATAAAAAGTTCGAAAACTTGTTTAGTTTGCCTTTTTTCAAAAATGGTTTTTGGAAAATTGTTTTGGGGAGAGAGTTTTAAAAAAAGTGATTGATTTGATGTGTATGAGAGAGTGTGTGATTTTGGAAAGTAGGTAACTAAACAAAATTTTGAGATTTTTTTTTGGAAAAATTTGTTTGGTTTGATTGCTCTTGAAAATTTGTTTGTAGAGAATTTTTTCCAAATTTTTTTTTGAAAAACAAACCACACGAAACTAGAAACTCTCTAAATCTTCTTATGATCTTAGATCAAAAAGCAATAAAACACCACAAACTCCTCGCCAAAAAACACAAGTCCAAGTTGATGAAGCAACAAGCATCAAGATGCATACCCCAACTTCAAAAGACTCAAGCTCAAGGGGGAAAAAACTTGTTAAACTCCAAAGAAAGAGAGCTCATTGCAGCATTCAATACCGATCCAACCTCTCATCTGTTGTTTTTTTTTTCAAACACATAAATTCAATTCAAACCAACTTGAAGAGCTTCAAAAGACTTCATTCTGGTATTTGATCCAAGCTCTAACCATTGGAAAGATGGATCCAAGGAAGTCTAGGAATTTTGATGATGATGTAGTTGCAATAATCCAACGTTACAATGAAAAAACGAAAGCATTCATAATTGGTAAAAAGAACTTGACATTTACAACCAATGACATGACCTTGATTTTTGGTTTGCAAGGTGGTAAAGAAGCCATGTCATTAAGATACTCAAAAAAGCCAAACACTGCATTCCTAAGGTGAACATTCCCAAAAGACACAAGGCTCACTGGTCCTGTTCTTAAGAATGCCTTGGTCAATGCAATGAAAGGCAAGCAACTAACTAACTTCAAAGATGTGTCAATTATTGTTACCTTGTACTTGTGTCTCACCTTATTTTTTGCAACAAGTGGGAATTCAATAGGGTGGGTTTTTATCAAGTATGTGGAACCTCTTGAATCAATGAAGTAGTATGATTAGCCAGAAGCAATCACAGCAACATTAATCGATTCTATCACAGCATTGCACAAAACTCTAAAAAAGTTACGAGGTGTGTCATTGCATTGTTGGTAAGTAGAATTTCCATTCAAATTTATAGTTATAATACTTACAAATTTGTGTGTTTAGCAAAATTTAATTACTTCAATTTCCATCACAGTATTGGCTATGTGAACATAAGAATATCATTGGCTGGGAAGACAGTAACACAACTGAATTCGTAAGATATACCAAGTGGAACCTGCAAAGCTTGACCAAACAGCTGCAGAAGACACCAGTCCACTCTCTTGCACCTCGACAGTTTAGATTTCTATCACCACTGAAATCTCAGTGAAATTCCAAAATTTCTCTAACCACTGGTTTGTTTCCCTCCTTGTGCCTTGCTTGATTTGATCAATTTTCTCTGCGATGCAATATCTTATATGGAATAATTTATGTGCCTTGACTGATTGAGATCAATTTTCTCTGAAATTTCAATTTATGTTGTTTCTTTGATTACTACTTATTTATTTCAGCCATTGTAATGAATTCTCTCTGGAATCCAAATTTCTCTGACCACAATTATAATAACATTAACTTATATGCCTTGATTGATTTTATCAATTTTCTCTGCGATGCAATATCTTATATGGAA